GACTTTTTGTACGCTTCAAAATGTAATAAAATTTGACAAAAAGAAGATTGTCGGGTGAAAAGCGTGAGTATTTTGTATATCATTGCAGAAATCACATATGCCAGTTGCCATGGACGAAATGAACATCGTCTTAACCTTTGAAAGTCATCAATGACCAAACGAATAGCCAATGGAAATGCCGTGATATCGTCTTATGATGCTGGATAAACCAATCAAATTAAGGCAGATTTTCGTATCACACTCCGCACAGTGTGATACGAGAAACATCTATTCATGCAAGAAATAGATAAAAAGCCACAACCATAAGAGAATACTTGATGTAAAATTATTTAAATCACAAAGCGGATTGTTGTTGCATTTTTCAGCAGAGTTTTAATTTGAAATCCCCACAGGTTAATAAACACGAGTTGATAAAATCTTTAATCTTCTATGAGCACGCATGGTCTGCATTTTGTCGTCATTTTATAATTGATGAAACAAAAAAAATATGTGTCTGTATAAATTAAAGTGAAACTACACTTTAATATAATCAAGGATACTTCTAAACAAAACATATATGACATTTCACAAATTGAATATCAACGTAAGTCTTACTGGACAGTATTTCTTCAAACGCAAACTGTATGCTTCGTAACACGCCTTGAAATCAGACGTTTTTCAAAGGCCAAACTTACATTTAACATACATTGAAAGCGAACGTGTATGAATTTCTTTCAAACAAGTGGTTTACATACGAAAAAAAAATTAAAAACAACTTATGCATTTCATACGCTTCCAATAGATATAGTTGATGAACTATGGTATCCTTATGACTCGTACATTTTGTTAAACGTCAGTTTTATTCATTTGTTTTTGTTTTCAGTGGAGCACCACTGATGATTCTTGTGTTGACAAACCACGCGTATAAGCTTGGTATATTTAAGTTTTTTTATGCATGTTTAACGCAATTTCTAAGGTCAAATAACATCCATCTAGCAACGTATGTGTTTCAACGTGACTTATTCCCGATTGTGACTGTTTTGCTGAGTGTGAATTTTTATTGCTATAAGACGTGTCACGGTAATTTTCTATCCAAAATTCATGTATTTAGTTTTGATGTTATATTTGTTATTGTCATCGGTTTTTGTCAAAATTTAATGTCTTATCGTTTGTAGTTGTAAATCTTATTTTTTTCTGTTGTATTCGTGTGTTATGGTAAAGATAATTAATTACCCAGTTCATTAATTAGATTTTAGTTTCGGTCAACTGAATTTATACGATATTTTTGGTTTACAGTTTGATTTAGAAGAAACACCGACATAGCTAGATAATACTATTAATTATCTAATTACTACCACTTTTTATATTAATTACTATCGTAATTTTCATTGTTATTAAAACATGTTATATGAGTATTTTAAACCAAATCTTGAATTCTATTTTGGGGAATTTTCAGAAATTCAAATGTGACGTCACTTTTTTTTTTTTTCTTTTTTTTTTTTTTTATATTATTATTTTTTGCGTTGATCTATTTGGCTAACTAGGCTGTGAATTTTTATGTGCTGGTTTATGTTGTTTTATGTATCCGTTTTTATTCTGTAGTTAGTCACGACTTCGGTGTTATCATATATATCTATTATATAGTCATTTTTTTATAAATTTACTGTTTGCAAAAGTATGAATTATTCTAAATACTAAGGTTTTTCTTATCCCAGACATATAACCTTAGCCGTATTTCGCACAACTTTTTGGAACTTTTGGTCCTCAATGCTCTTGAACTTTGTACTTGTTTTGGGTTTCGAACCTTTTTTATCTGAGCGTCACTGGTTAGTCTTGTGTGGACGAAACGCGCGTTTTGCGTATTTAATTTTAAACCTGGTACCTTTTGTTAGCTTTTATTCGTATGTTTCTCTGACCTATATGTTCTCCCATTTATTTGTATTGTAGTCCTGTCATGTAATGTTGTCATTTTAATGTTATATTTAACATTGCCACAAAAGCGGGACGTTTGGCTAGCCACAAAACCAGGTTCAACCCACCATTTTTTTCTTAAAATGTCCTGTACCAAGTCAGGAAAATGGCCATTGTTATATTATAGTTCGTTTCTGTGTGTGTTACATTTTAATGTTGTGGTTCTGTTTGTCGTAGTTTTCCTCTTATATTCAATGTGTTTTCCTCAGTTTTAGTTTGTAACCCGGATTTGTTTTTTCTCAATCGATTTATGAATTTCGAACAGCGGTATACTACTGTTACCTTTATTTTTCAAACGTGGATTTAACTTTTCTGTTAAATATGTGAAGCTGGCTATTTACCAGCAGGTTTGCAGATACATCATTATAGAGTGCTTCTGGGTAAAATAAGAACTTTTTTTACTAAACTTTGAACCAAAAATCTATCCTTTATTGCACAGATTAAAAATCATGAAATGAGAAATTTTGTGATTTCATAGAAGAAATGATACTTATTATCATTAAAAGGATATTGCCATATCTCAGTTAAGTAAGTCGATTTTATACAGACATCATTGCCAAATACAGCAACAGTTCATCCTTCTGGTAGTTTATATGGATAGTCTGGTTCCATTGTCCTAGCCATAAATTGCATTTGTTGTTGGCCTATAACATATTGAGCCAAGTACGTTTATCGAGTGTTTACATATTTCTTGGTTAATTGTATATTTGGGGACTTACAAATCATGATCGGATTTGTCAAGGCTAGGGGAATACATGATGGATCATTTCAGTCCACTGGCTTATTTATAAATGAGATAAATCTTTGAGATTACTGTTCCGTGACTTAATGACAAGTCTCAACATGACAATATCCGACGATACACTCGCAATGTGAGAAATGCAGTAAATATAATGATATCATTCTTTTCTTTCTTTTCATAACGGCTGCTTGTTAAGTCTCCCAAACGAAGTTTGGGAAGACTTGTTGTTTTTGCTCAGTTCTTATTATTATTCTTCTTCTTCTTCTTCTTCTTCTTCTTCTTCTTCTTCTTCTTCTTCTTCTTCTTCTTCTTCTTCTTCTTCCGCCGCTTTTAAATTTGAACTTGTCCGCACCCGTTCTCCAAAACCGCTTGTCAGATTAACTTAGGGTTTCACAATATGTTAGACTAACATGTCTAGTGGTGCAATCAGGGTTTTGTTTGTGCAATGGGGTTTATAAAGGGGTACTTTGAGGAGCAAAAAGATAAGAGGGTTTTACTATAGAACCCTATGGGATTTTTTTTTTTTAATTTTCAAATGATTATAAATTGAAAACCGTTTGCGATAGACACAATCTTTTTAATTGAAAATATTCTAAATGATAAAGCCCATTAAATGAAATACAGGGTTAGTCCCCAGGGGTCATCCCCACCCCCTGCCATTTAAGAAAGTTCTAATACCTTGTAAGTGGTCAAGATCCCCACCCCTAAACCATATATATTTTGGTTTATCATGCTAAGATGGTTTGAATGATATACAGAGTTAGTCCCCAGGGGTCAACCCGACCCCCTGTCATTTGAGAAAGTTCTAATATCTTGTAAATGGTCGAGATCCCCACCCCTAAACCATATATATTCTGGTTTGTCATGATAAACCACATCAAATGTAATACAGGGTTAGTCCCCAGGGGTCACCCCCACCCCCTGCCATTTAAGAAAGTTCTAATATCTTTTAATAGGTCAAGATCCCCACCCCTAAACCATATATATTTTGGTTTGTCATGCTAAGATGGTTTGAATGATATACAGGATTAGTCCCCAGGGGTCATCCCGACCCCCTGCCATTTGAGAAAGTTCTAATATCTTGTAAATGGTCGAGATCCCCACCCCTAAACCATATATATTCTGGTTTGTCATGATAAAGCACATCAAATGAAATACAGGGTTAGTCCTCAGGGGTCACCCCCACCCCCTGCCATTTAAGAAAGTTCTAATATCTTCTAAGTTGTCAAGATCCCCACCCCTAAACCATATATATTCTGGTTTGTCATGCTAAGATGGTTTGAATGATATACAGGGTTATTCCATTGGGGTCATCCCGACTCCCTGCCATTTGAGAAAGTTCTAATATCTTGTAAATGGTCGAGATCCCCACCCCTAAACCATATATATTCTGGTTTGTCATGATAAACCACATCAAATGAAATACAGGGTTAGTCCCCAGGGGTCACCCCCTGCCATTTAAGAAAGTTCTAATATCTTCTAAGTGGTAAAGATCCCCACCCCTAAACCATATATATTCTGGTTTGTCATGTGAAGATGGTTTGAATGATATACAGGGTTAGTCCCCAGGGGTCATCCCGACCCACTGCCATTTGAGAAAGTTCTAATATCTTGTAAATGGTTGAGATCCCCACCCCTAAACCATATATATTCCTATTTGTCATGTCTCGAACATTTGAATGACGTATACGGTCAGTCCCCAGGGGTTCCCCCCACCCCCCCCCCCCCTGTTCTAATATCTTGTAAATGGTTGAGATCCCCACCCCTTAACCATATATATTCCTGTTCGTCATGTAATGAACATTTGAATGACGTATAGGGCCAGTCCCCAGGGGTTCCTCCCCACCCCCAATGTTCTAGTATCTTTTAAATGGTCGAGATCCCCACCCCTAAACCATATATATTCTGGTTTGTCATGCCAAGATGATTTGAATGATATACAAGGTTAGTCCCCAGGCATCACTAATGCATATAACTTTACTGGACCAAACCAATTTTCACTGGACGTTGCCCAATGTCAGGCGACCCTGGGAATTACGAATTATGGGAGCTTTGTTTGGGAGACTTCGTAACAGCATCCTGTTACAATCATTTCTTGTTTAGTTTGTAAACGCTTGCATTATAGGTTACATCTATATCATATTAAATTTGAATTTATTAAATAATATTCATTATTTCTAAACAAATTTATATTTTAGTTTGTTTCTATGTATTTTTATCTCCCGGTAATAAGCTGTTTTAAAAGGAAGTATAACTATAAAAGCCTTCGGGTTTTCTTGTGTATTTACCTTCCGTTTCTATATTTGTAGATAACTTTTATAAACAACTTCCGACTACAAATATAATAGATTCCGACAGTAAGTAAACAGTCTGAAAGACATTTTATTCAAAAAACAAAATTTGTACCAATATTTGACTTCTTACATGATTTTGTCTCGGTCCTAGAAACATTCCGTTTGTATATTCGTAGATGAATTATTTAAGCACCTTCCGGCTACAAATGTATTAGATTTCGTCAGTAAGAAAAAGTCTTGAAAGACATTTAATTCAAAAAACAAAATTGGTATCAAGATTTGATTTCCTACATGATTTTGTCTCTGAACAAGAAAACCTCTTCATGTTAAGATCTTTTTGAAACATAATTGGAACAGCATGTATTGGTGAACCAATATCCTTTTCCCGATTGTCAGAAACAATCTTTGTCTTTGAGACATTGATGTGTTAAAAGTAGGGGAGTTATTAATAAGTGAAAACGGATATTTGTCTTGTCATTGAGATAACACTGCTTTTTTAGACTCAGAATTAGACTCGTCTGAAATCAGTCAGTTTGTGGTATTCTCGTCCAATGTGTGTGAAGTTGATTCAAACAGTGTTTAAATGCATATGACTCTTTTTATTACAACATAAAATTACAAACTTCTAATAACATAAAGAAAAATGAGAAATATTCATACGTAATTTCATCTGAAAAAAAAAAATAATAACAAATTTTGACAAAGGTTAAGTAATTGAATGTGACTGCGTACTTGTACATCACAAATGAATAGAACCCCGCGATTTAAACTGTTATAATACAAGAATTTTAGAGTTGACAAAGATAAAGAAATAGCAACAGAGACTGCGTAGTAATATGTAATATAACCCAAATGAAAAGCACTGCTGACGAATTGGGTTTCAATGTTGGCGACTTTTCAGCACTTACCAATGCCTCTTCCGCATGGTTTATAACCTCCTATTGTCGATGTCTCTTGTTTAGATAAATTAGATGTAACTAGAATATCTTTGAGGTTTTTTGGGTCTGCGGGAAGAAATGACGGGAGGTGATGGAAAAATCTTTTTTAAGGAAGAATCATTTTCAATAAAACGCCAGTGTTTGTGGACAATGGATGAAAGATTTGTCAGGTCAGGATGAAAGCTGACAACAAACGGAATTTTGGTACCCATAGCAGTTCCATTAACTTGTAGATAAAGATTTCCATCAAAGGTAAAGTTGTTGTTCTTTAGTACCAGCGTGAGCATTTTGACCAGGCATTCAGAAGGTGGATATTTTACTGGTCGGGAATCTCTAAGATATATATATATATATATATATAGAGAGAGAGAGAGAGAGAGAGAGAGAGAGAGAGATAAGATAGGAAAATGTGAACATTAACTAAAAATGCTTTTGATGCCTATTTTGACACAAAGAAGGCTATCAAAACACTTAGCTTAATGCAAAACAGACAAGATAAGAATATGGAGATGTGGTATGATTGGAAAAGGGACAACTATCTCACAGAGTCCAAATGAAGCAGATTCAATCTACTATATGTCATCGTACGACCTTCATTTTTCCCGAGCCCCCCATGATAGCTTTTAGGCAACCCAATAGTCTGCGGAACCTGCTGGTGCGGGCTGAATTGTCTGATCAGAGAAGTACTTCTGGAGAATGTCGTTCGTGGGATGAAAAACACTGCAAATGCTGCCTACAGATGCATCACTCATAAACTTTTCACAGTAAGGGAACCGAAAATAACTATAGGATATTTTGCAATGTCACCTGAAAAAGTATGAATGTTATTTACATTCTAGAATGTTCGGTTTGTGGCCTCCAATATGTTGGTGAGTCAAAGCAGCCTTTCCTCGAACACCTCAATGACCATAGGAGTGATATCTAAAAGAAGCCACTTCTCCAAGTTAGTCAGCGTTTCAGACAGTCGGGTCATAAACTTGATGACTTTAACCGCATGAAAATCCCAGTGATTGAACAGAACATTCACTGGAGTGATGCCTAGCGACAGGTTCGGGAAAGCTTTTGGATAAAACGGCATCCATAAGAAATACTAGCAGTTTTATTTTACACTCATTTTGGGATGTTTATATACACAGTCACGTCTATTGAGTATCGAGCTTTGTTTTATATAATGCTGTTCAAGATTTGGGATTAAATCAATAGACCAAAAATTACATGTATTATTGAGCTATTTCACACATACAATTAGTATTGTTAACATTATTGACACTGACGAAGGCTATTTGTTAAGCCGAAATATTTGTCAAAGCGATTTTATAACGTCATCTTCGTATATTACCATCTTATATTAGTACCGGCAAATCTTGACTTATATATATATATATATATAATTACTCTCAATATCACCACAACAATGTTAAATCTGCAAATTTGCGGAATATATATAAAAAAGAGCAAGGTATTTGTCTATGCAATTTTTAATCATTCTTTGAATACGGTGCCAAATAAGTTTTTAATATATATTCCGAAACACACAAATGTTCAGTATCATAAAAGTGCAAAGCGTCTTGTGAACTTTCCATTTCTATGTAGCAACGTTCGAGCAGCACCTGCATACGGAGTATGTATCTCCCAGTTGATACCATATTCCTAGGCTTGCATTTCTATCATGATTTTCTTGATAGAGGGACATTCAAACTCATAAATCGAAAATAAACTGACAAAGTCATGGTTAAACAAGAAAAAGAACAACAGACAAACAATAGTACACAAAACACAACATAAAAAACTAAGGACTGAGCAACACGACACCAACCAAAAACTGAGGGTGATCTCATGTGCTCCGGAAGGATAAGCAGATACTGCTCCACATGTGGCATCCGTCGTGTTGCTCATGTTAGTACAAATTTCGTCAGATGTCGGTAGGTCATATTCAGGGAAAAGGGGACGGGATTGTAGTAACGACATAGAACATATCCGCTGTCATCTGTGATACGGATATTCCATAACGATCAACCAACTCGTGATGGCGTCCGTAAAATTAACGAAGAGATGATTTCAACTTCACCTCTTGGAACTCTTGGTTTCATAGCTTCCTTGTGAGCAGCAATCCTCTATCAACAAAATCATAATAGAATATAAGCCCTGGAATATCGTATCAACTGAGAAACTCTTTAGTGGCGCTCTAGAGTGGCGTTCTAGAAAGCAAGAAAGGCCAAAAAAATACGGAGTTAAAGAGCGTTGCGCACCTAAAGTTCCGATAGATTCGTCATCTACAGTAGTTGAAGAGACGTCAATTCGTAATTCGCATCTAGTACACCTAATGTTATTTCTCAAAAATGTGGAGCAAAATATGAAAAAAAAATGCCGTTTCATTCCCTCATTAAATCTTATTTCATCTGAAGAGTCATAACTATCTGCGTAAGTGCGTTTAAAAACATCTGTGAATTGTGAGAGACACTCGTGATGTGCTCTTTACTTAATAGAGGGACGAAAGATACCAGAGGGACAGTCAAACTCATAGATCGACAACAAACTGACAACGCCATGGCCAATAATAAAAAGACAAACAGACAAATAATAGTACAGATGACACAACATAGAAAACTAAAGACTAAGCAACACGAACCCCACCAAAAACTGGGGGTGATCTCAGGTGCTCCAGAAGGGTAAGCAGATCCTGCTCCACATGTGGCACCCGTCGTGTTGCTTATGTTATTACAAATCCGGTAAATAGTCTAATTTGGTTATTCACATTCGTGAAAAGGGAAGGGTATTGTAGTTACGACATAAGGAACATATCCGATATCATCTGTGAAACGGTTATTCCATAACGGTCAACCAACTCGTGATGACGTCCGTAAAATTTACGAAGGGATAATTTCAACTTCACCATTTTGGAACTCTTGGCTTAATAGCTTCCTGGTGAGCAGCAATCCTCTATCAAGGAAATCATGGTAGGAAACACAAGCCTGGGAATATCGTATCAATTGGGAGATATATACTCCGTATGCAGGCGCTGCTGGAATGTTGCTACATAGAAATGGAAGTTCACAATTGGGAAGTTGAAATCATCTCTTTTCAACCGACCCTCATTGTCAATTTCTAGATGTAAGTCAAGATATGAGGCAGACTTAACTGTATCTGTAGTATCCTTTATCTCTAGTTCGATGGGATAGATTCGTTCAACATAGTCACCAAATTTTGTATTATTTAGTGAGAGAACATCATCTATATAGCGGAACGTAGAGTTAAAGGATATTGCTAACTTCTTATCTTTCTTCCTAAGAAGTTCCTGTGTGAAGTCAGCCTCATAATAATAAAGAAACAAGTCGGCAAGAAGAGGGGCACAATTGGTTTCCATTGGAATTCCAACAGTCTGTTGACAAACACGTCCTCCAAACGTGACAAATATGTTGTCAATCAAGAAATCAAGCATCTTGATTATGTCAGTTTCAGAGAATTTTTTGTTTGAATCAGAGTGATTCTTTACAAAGTAGGATTTATCCCTCCCCAAGACAAGATACTTGTATCTACGTTCGCCATTCTTTTTAATGAAACAAAGTAATACCAACTCTTTCAATTTGTCTTTTAGTTTGGAATGGGGAATACTTGTGTAAAGTGTAGATAAGTCAAATGTTTTAATACTATTGCAAGATGAGATCTGGCCAGCCGGATTATATGTGAATTGGGAACTAGCACAGGTGCAATCAGGAGGTTTAGACTTGAAGTCGTCAATGTTGAGATCCTGCAAAACGTATTTGTAACTGAAAATTTTAGTTGCAATTGGTTTGGTATAGGTATTAGAAATTATTGGTACAGACTGATCTTTAAAATAAGGAGGTATTTTCGACTGAACTAATTTATGGTGAAGGATATTGCCTAAGTTGACGCCATCGAGACCATTTGTTGGCAAAGGAAAGTTTAAGAAAAGATCTTTTCACTTTTAAAGTCATGACATATAATGTGATACAAGTTTAATAATATTTGTACCTTTTTTTTTTATAGAATTAACAGATATGGATGATATGGGGAATTCCAACGACGAGAGACAGAAGACATTTTTATTAATAACTTGCTTAAATTTGAATGGAGCGTCCAAGGATATGATTAATTACAGAATATCATGCTTCAAAGCGATGGAAGGCATGTACAGTATTGCAAATTTAGAAAGAAGTCCAATGCGAGGCTATTTTATAGGTAGTCAAATTGAAGGCACTACACTTATCGGATCCGAGTCGGATGAAGATATCATGTTCGTAAATGAGGACATAACTGTTATTTGTGAAACAGATAGACATGAAGTGGATCAATTAGGAGAGCGTTTAAATAGATTTCATAGCACACAGATTAAATCAAACATTCCGATTGGTGTTATTTTGGAAAGTGAAGAAACACCTGGATATGTAAAAATTAGAGTTGTCGACGCCAAAACATACAACCCTTTAACAGAATGTGATACAAATCCAATATCACACCTTTGCTATACTGATTCCAAGGGATTTCTCCTCTTAAGTACAGAAAAACTGAAAACAAGAATTGGAACTGCTACTTCGGAAAGATATAGGAATGGTCCCGCCATGACAGAAACATCTACGAAAGAGTTTCATTCTTCAGACCTTGTATATGGGCTATTTACCAAAGCTTGGCCGAAATCGGCGGATGAATGGCTATCAAGAAAACGAAGATATCCATGGCCACCGACGAATATCACAAAACTTGTTTACGACGGTTGTTTTCTTGTTCCAACTGGGTCTTCTTATGAATCTGAAACAATTTGGAGACTTTCGTTTGTTCAGATCGAAAAAGAAATGGTTTGGGCTTGGTCAGCTATTCAGTATAAGTGTTTTATGCTTCTGAAACTGATTAAAAGAAGCATAATACAACCAGCTATACCAGATGTAATATCATCTTATCAACTAAAGACAATAATGTTTTGGGTGTCCGAGGAAACGGATCCAATGTTTTGGAAAACAAATAATATTAGAGAATGTTTTACTCGATGTTTTGAATTTCTTTTGGAATACGTACAAAAAGAAAATTGTCCACACTATTTTGTCAGAACAAACAACCTTTTCCGAGGAAAATTAAATAGGAGTTTAAAAGAAGAGCTGATTTGTCTTTTATTTCGAATTTTACAGAATTTTTGGACTGAGGTGTTTAAAATCCCCAGTCTGCGTGAAGTAAGCGAAAACCTAGAAGAAGGAGAAATTGAACGTTACGGTGATGTGCTAACAGCAACAATGCGACACCCAGAGTTATTAAAAGAAATAATGAATTTGTATTTCAGTGTTATCATCAGCTTTGCGACATCAGCAATGAAGCCAGCCTTTAAGTTCCTCAGGAAAAATGACATCGATGTGGCTATCAAAAGGCATCATGAATATCGTTTGCTTATAGCAAGATTTTCCTTGACAGATCCAGAACATCTTGAACTTGAGCAACTTATTAATCGTTTAATCGATATAAGTTTGGGGTCACAGTTGAATTCGAAGGCCTGCAAAACCGAAGATAATATAGAAAAAACAAAATTGATACATGAAGCAGAAATGTTATTCAAACGTGGCATCAACCTAGACACTGCGTCTGGTAGGCTAAAACTAGCAACACTGTACTTCTGTCAAGGCAAATATAGAAGTGTGTGCAATCTTATCAAAGAAGTTTCGACCACTGAAGGAGTGTTTCAATTGAACGGATTTGAACCACAAAGTCCAGATATTTCTTTCCCTTATGCTCTTCGAATTATTTCTGAACAGCCCAGCCTTGCATCAACATTACGAGACCATGCGGCTCTGGAATTAGTGTTTTTACCATCAGAAATTAACTCGGCTCCAGATCCAATTAAGTTTGAAATAAATCGGGCAGTACTAGCAGAAAATGAATGTAGTCTCGATAATCCACTAAGTTGGGCTGCTTTTGATGCTGATTTTTATACATTGCTGTTAAAGTTTCTGATTCTGCACGAGCAAAATGCATACCAAGAAAGAAATGAAACTCTTTCAAAGCTTCGCGAATATGTCAAAAAAACAAATTCGTTTTACAGGAGAATTTCGGCCATGAATATTGTTGGATACTGTCTTCAACTTGTAGGAGAAGTTCAATGGGCTCTTGATGTGTTTCTAGGCTCCCTTGTCTTATAAAGAACTCACAATTCGGCAATATGGCATCTGGCGCTTCTTGTGTGGAATGTATACAACTCATCCAAATTGTAAAATGAAAAAGAGGGAATTTAAGTATGCATGTTCCCCCAGTGACTATATATATTACAAGGACTATTAGTAAACATACTAAATACCAATTTTAACATTAATTACAGCTTATGTAAGAATCCTGGGTTTTGATTGGTTTATAGCCAGTGAATTTTTCACCAATTTACTGTTATCAAATGAATATCGTTCATTTTTTAACGCCGCCGGGGTATATGCAAAAAGGATATGCCTTTTTTACCCTCTCTGCCGTGGTATTTGCCAAAAAATACTCTATCCGACTGGACGCTTGTAACGTCACGATCATCAATGCGTTTCTGAACGTTAACATTCGGTGTAATTAAACAGATATAGCATGTTCTGGAGGGGTATTTGCGAAAAATACCAGTCTTGAGAATGAATTTCCCTCGTCTTACGGCTCGCGAAATTTAACATTCTCTTGACTGATATCTGTTCAGAATACCATTTCATTTTGAATACACGATCTACTGTTTATTTCACCAACGTACAACAGTAGACATGTATGGGAAGCTACTCAATAGATGTGAACCTATCACAGCAAATGTATATTAGGTATGTTTGACGATTTGTATATAGAAACATTTGCACAATGTCCATATAATGACTAGAAAGTGAAAAAAAAAAATTCTTTTGATACTTTGATATATGGTGGCATTCATGGAGTTGTATTTCACAGTTCCCATAGCAACAGTAAAATTATATTTCGAAACGGTGAAATGTAAATATTTGTTTTTTACAAAGTGCTTTTTCGGCCATTTGACTTGAATAAAAAGATATATGGTATATAAGTAAAATGATTTCAAACAACCTGAGATAACTGCTTGGTTTAAATGGGGTTCATGTTGCTTAGTTTTTAGTTTTCTATGTTGTGTTTTGTGTGCTGTTTTGTTTGTCTTTTTGGTCTTTTTTTTTTTGCCATGGCGTTGTCAGTTAATTTTCAATTTAGGGATCTTTCGCCTCTCTTCTGTTTTATTCTACTTATCTATGATAGTTTTCGAGATAATAGGTAAAGCTAAAAGTTAAACTTAGTCACACATTGACATTTAAGACCAATAACTCTTATGAGGAGTCATCCAATGGTATCAGTTACTAGTATATAATCATTTCTGCAAATTTTGTATTGCTAATATTTTTGTTTTGATGTTTTACAGGTTCTACCTTTCTATGATATAAAAATAAGAAGATTGGTTACGATAGCCAATGAGACAAAACTGACTCCACCAGAGACCAAATGACCTAGAAGTTAGAAACTATAGGTCACTTTACGACCTTCATCAATGAGCAAAACCCATACCGCATAGCAAGCTATAAAGGGACCCGAATTGACAGATGTAGAACAGGTCAAACGAGAAACCTAACGGCCTGATTTGTGTACAAAACAATTTTAAGGGCAATAACTCCTTAATTGGTCATCTGATTGGTTTTGGTTATTCAGCATTTTTGAAGATGCCGTATGGCTGTAACTACTTCAGCATTGCTCCAATGGTTTCAGTTATATTTGTTTGTTTTTGTAGATCTTGTATTGCTAATTATTTTTGTTGTTTGCAATTTATACATATCTACAAATATTTTATTGTTTTTTGAGAAAACCAATATTAGCATTATTGTACATGTATATCTTGTTTTGCAGATAATATATGATAGTTTTCGCTTTAAATTGTAAATAGACTATCACTTTAGTATTCATTCGTATCAATATTAAGTCTTATCATAATGACGATGCTTTTATTTCGATTAAATCTATGAAAACATAGACTCATATATATTAGTAAACGATAACCACGTGGAAGCATTTTATTCTGGTATTTGCCTTCCAAAACTTTTTAGGTCTACGAAGTGTTTGTAATGGTATTTCAAGAACTCAGGGTTGAACGCATCAAAATAGTATCATGCAACATATTGTCTCTATTCAGAGTGTTCATTAGAAATGTAGAAATAAAAACGGAAAAGTTTATCACTAAGTTTGTGCTCCAACATCTCGGCAAAAACATAATTTAAGAATGTCGAATATAGCATTTATCTTTTCCACTGCATAAAACATTGTTTCCATTCATGTCGAACTCGTACAAAATACATTGATTCACACTAGATTCAAATGTATATAAATCACACAACGTATTGAGGCTACATTTCTCAGCACAGTTTAAATTTGATCTCGTCATATGTTGATACAACTGTAAATAGTTGGGTAAGTTTTTAACCGTCTTTGAGTAATCACGGCTTGCAGTTTGTCCCCCTTTTATATCTGTTGAAAAAAAAAGAAATATGTCTATGTAAATGAAAAGAAGACTACACTATATATATATGCATGTATATATGTCCAGTGGCGTAGCTACCATTGACGCAACGACGCACTTGCGTGCACAAATGAAATGGCCCCAAAACAATCACAATTAAAAAATTATAGCAGTCAAAAAAAGAAAGAGTGCGATTGTCTATCACTTTATATATATAGGTGTTTCAACTTGTCAGAAAGGTTTCCGTGTTTTCTATCAGTTCAGTTTTGTTGTGCGTACATCGGTATATACAATTTTTAGACCATCTACTAAACGAACTACGAGATCGTCTTGTCAATTCGGAAGAACGTTTCTTCAGATGCTTCTTCCAAACAATCTTAAAAGTTTGAATCGGGACCATCAAATTCGCATATTTCGCGCCTACGAGTCCGATCTTCAACCAGAAGATCAGATTCTTCTCCAAATTAAAAGGTGGGTTGCGCGATGGGATATTTATCCATCTAAGAAAACAGACCATCTCTGTGCAACATTGAAGATGACGCCGAAAGAACTTTGCCCAAATATATTCTGCATTCTGCAAATACTTCTCACCATGCCACCCTCAACCTCTACTGCTGAACGCTCTTTCAGCGCTCTTAAACGCGTAAAAACGTATCTGAGATCGACCATGGGTCCGGACAAGAAAGACTTTCTTCACTTGCACTGCTGCACGTTCATTCTGATTTTGAAATTGACACTAAAGAAGTTATTGACAATGCTAGGCAAATGAAAATGTTACTCTCCTAAATGACCTCGGTTGTTAACTTCAGTCTTACATACGAACGTCACATTCATATATCACCAAATTAAAAATTGATTGTTTGAATTGCTTTGTTTTCGTATGTTAACATATATGTCATGAGATGATCCAGTTCTCTAGCCCTTTCTTTCTTTGAAGCATAATAAATTGGCGAGCATTGCAAATTTTTTAGAATTTTTTAGTCAATTTAAGTTCTTTGATTTGATATACTAGTATAGCAAAACACTCAACTGTGCATACTTCACTTCAAAATTAACCATCTTAGATCCAAAAAAGATTCATTTTCTGTAAAAAAGGGTCCAAAATTTTTTTTCGCCTCGCTACGCTCGCCAACTTCTGCGTGCAGATCATTATAAGTCTAGCTACGCCACTGATGTCTACAATAAACCACTATAACAGAAAATATCCAGAGAAAATATCAACGTTTGTTTAAGGACAACATAAATCGTAAGCGAATGTTCTACTTAAAAACTCACGTACAAAATAAGACGTTTTACACATGCTAAACGTACATTTTACATTTATTAAAATGACGAAATTGGCGTCTTGCGTTTTAAATTTCAAACCAATAATATCTCATGCGGTTTTTACGCACGTTCCGCATGCGCAAAGCGCTCACCTTGTAAAACCGTATGTTTTTTTTCATCCTTTTAAAGAAACATTAGTTTTACGTACGTTTAATGACATACATGAAACGTTAAATATTCTTCTCCTGTATAATATTTAGATCCAAAAAGGTGTTAGGTTTCCAAAAGATCAAAGACTTATTACATGATAAGACAATAGGTTTATACCGCGAATTTTCCGCTATAAAAAAACGTTTTCCTGTGAAATATGAACTATTTGCTACTGAACGTTAAGTAAAACAATAATCGCTTTCTTTTACAATTTGTTAGCAGAAAAATGGATATCTGTTATGTTATAGAAGAAAAAGAAGATAATTAAAATTATGAGGATAATGACATATCGCTGTAACGACATTCCGTTTCATATCGACATCTCCCCGATATTATATTTCTAGTTTTATTCGTCTGGTGGTTTACATGGACAGCAAAAATTTGCAATAGTTTTATCCGATGAAATATATTAAATACATCTTCAACCGTTGTAGTAGTGTGTAAAAAACTAAAAACAAGCTTATCTCGAAAAATGCATAGTGGTATTGACATTATCTTCAATCGTATGTCTCTGACAAAAGTGCATGGATATATTCAAAGAACTCAATTAAATTAGAATCAAAATCATGATAATCATATACGAAATATACAAACTAAACGATATGTTAGCAGAACTTACCACATTTTCCATAATCCGTATGCAGTCCTGTAAATATTTAGGGAACTATATACCATATTAACAACAACAGCGATCATCATCATCCGTATTAATAATGTTTTTCCAACTCGATGAAGCGTCATATTGCTAGTATGTGTGTGTTTCGTGCTGCTAATTCTTTTTAAATTAGCTGTCTTTGTCGTGTTTTGAGATCTTTTTTTTTTTTTTTGACATAATTATTGTCTTTCTTTTCTACGGCCTCGATTTTTTTTGTGTTGCCACTCCCCTCTCCCTCTTTATACCCTCGTAACATACAGTATTGTTATAATATTGTATTCCTATAAATTTCTATTTAAAACAAAATCATAATAAAAAATATTAAAGCCTAAGCTGTTTCTTCATAAATACTCATTTGTGTTAGAATAAAAAGAATTAAATACTGTAGATAGTAAACAAAATGTAAAACGAAGTATAATTTTCATTAAATTATCTAATTAGGAACTCTAAATATTCAACAGCAATTATTTTTTAATCCACAGAAACTGGTGTTTCGAATTCAATCAAGATATACGGGAATATCCATAAATTTCGTTTCTAAATTATTCTACTGAAAATGAAAATGCAAATATACTTATCATGAGAACTTTAATACAAACTGGTGCTGATAGTTGCGTTAAAAACCAACCAATCAACCAATTAATACAAACTTTACCCGAACACTGAGGTATTTCACAGAATTCCCAGGTTATGTTTTGATTAGTGGTATAACACCATGGTTCACCGCGTGTACCCGCTGGGTCACGACAATAGTTCATTGCTAGATCGATATCAAGGTCAGGGAAGTCAGAACTAACGTGAGAATGCATGTGTGGTGATTGTTGATTCCATAACTGACATGACGTCCCAGACAATCCACAAGTACGTTTTCCCATGTATTTCTTCGATAATCGTTCGTGGTAACATTCGTTTCCTAAAATATGCATTATGAAGACAGTATGTTAACTTAGTCTATTAGTTATTTGTGTCATTGGGTTGACGTATATCCTACATCTATATTGTGTTTTGTATATTGTTGTTTGTCCTTGGTCGTTATTTGTTTGGTTTTATTTTGCCATGACGTTGTCAGTTCGTTTGCGACTTATAAGTTTGGATGTCTCTTTGTTAACTTTCGCCTCTCTGCTCCTTTCATTTACACTACGATATTTCACATCATTCAGAACAAACATCGTATATTCATTAATTAAAAAAATAGCGGCATAAGTTTGAATCTTCTACTATTCTGAGATTGCTCTGACGTCTGACGTTTTTTTTATATCTTTCTGCAGACGGCCCTGGCAAGTTCTTAATATGCTCAGACGTCAGAGCAAACTTGGACTAGTTTTCGTCTAGAAACTTAAAGAAGATGTTATCCCAAATTCATCCATTTTGAAATTTAAATCCTTTGTTCGTGGTCTTCTATTTACAGTATTAAATGCTATTACAACTTCGTTTTTGTTTTGACCTTAGAACTGTTTTGATTCGAGCGCCACAGATCGGATGATACTTAATTAATACGTAGACGAAACGAGCGTCTTGTGTACCACGTAATACGTCATGTATCTTTGGTGAGTTTTTACAATGTTTTCTCTATTCATCAAATTCTTATGAAAATTATGAAAACGCCGTTGAAAATAAATATGCAAGGTATGTGCAGTGAGATTGAAAACTGAACAAAATGTTCACGCAGTATATTAGCGATCAGCATATCTTTTACAACGTATATTATGCGCTATGTTCGATTGAGAGCTGCTTTGCATCATTATTCATTTAATCAAGTGTGCATAATTCACTAAGAGACAAATCATGTATACTTACGGGCGCAGGAAATATAACCATCTGTCCATCCTCCTGGTGTACATAGTTCAACTGGACAGAAATTGAACCCAGCTACCGATTGCTGCAGTAGTCGAGACTTACAACGAAAAGTGATATTCGAACCGTAAGTGGTTGTATAGGGTGGAATTGATTGTAAAGTAAGACATGTATCATCTACATAAGTTGTACCATCACTTACTGTACAGTCTAAAATGACAAATACACGGTTTATCATGAATAATTAAGTGCAAAAAGAGTTAACTGCGCATTCACAGGTCCTTTTTGGTTTGATCAGCTTTCCAATATTTGTATTGAGGTTTTGGATTTTCAAATATTTAAATCACTGAAGAGATATTAATTGTCGAAATCCGCATCTGGTCCAGAAAAAAAATGGTACTGTTATATAATATTATTGACTTATCAATTGAAATTGAAATGAAAAAGGATAAGTGTTGTTCAATTTTGTACAATGCTATCATAAAATTTGACTTCATTTTACTTTGAATTAGTTGTTTCCTGAACACTTAACCTATTACAAAAAAACAATGAACTTGTATGTTTGAAATGAGAAAATTTTTAACACATCTGTGGAATAACGATCAAATGAAAGAAGTTTTATTGATTATTAAGATATAAAGGATATAACTAATTTGGAAAGGAATTCACCCAAACATTCGCATAATACTATCGAGCAACAAGTTCTGAACACTCTTGAAAAAATCTTGGCGTGTTCCTGAATCAAGAGTTTTCCAAACTTGTTACTTGGTGATATTTTATGAGTAAAAATACAGGACAA